TGCGATTTTTAAAAATACTAGGTATTCCTAATCGCTGAATTGTTTTCAAAATTCAAGTTTCAAAATTTCTCATTTTAATGGGCGCCTAATCATTATATGATGTTTGCGAGGCTGTTAATTTATTGAATACGACGAAGGACAATTTGATATTCAAACTGACTAGCATTGGTCAGTAACGCGCTTTCGTTTGCGGCGAAAACAAAAATAACGAAAGTTCTCTCTCCCCGTGTTAAATCGTTATTTTTTTCTTTTTCGGGTGCAGCGTTTTTAGCAGGTAAAAAATTGACTTTTTCATCTTTTTAGACATTCAGCAAGTTATCATTGATAGTAATATGAATATTTTAAAATGCTCTTTGCTTTAGGTAAATGATGTTGTTTTCCGTATGTAAACATCTCCAGTAAAATTTATTAAACTTTGATTTGAAACTACTTGTCAAGGCAAACTGTAAATAGAAAAATCGCAATTCCGGGATTTTACACTTCAAAGAAATTAGCTTATCTTTTAGGACAAAAAAACTTACTTTAGTGGCGAAGAAGGTTTGATTTTTAAAACTACGTTTGTCATGAAATACTGGTAAAGTGGAAGGCAATATGAGGTACTGTGCGGCTTTAGTCTTCCTTGTTTGTCTTGCGAAGACAGAGCCATTTAACCACATGTAATGAAAACATATTTTTGTGAGACTACCCGTTTTGCCTCAGTAACCGAATGCAGAAATGATAAAGGGCAATTCAGAACTTCGTTTCAAATTAAAATGACTTGAACAGGCGGCGTTTTCACGGGAACCAAGTTCATGATTTTAAGCTCTAGCGCCGGAAACAAACTGAAAACGATACATGAAAATTTAATCAAATTTGTCCCGAATTATTGTTATTTTTGAACTGCAATTTAAAGTGGATGGCCTTTTCAGTACAGGATCTTTAAGCCGTTCAATGTCTGAATATTTAAATGTTCAGTATTTGATCAGGGTTTCATTTGGCCGAGTACGAGAGGTAAAGGGAACGGCACGCGACAAACCGCCTGTGTCAAATGTATTCAGCGTCTATTCACAAAAGCGAGCTGCCTCGCAACGTTTTTCCCTCCAAAGGCCATGCGAGTGACAAGCTGTCTCTATTCTTCTTTATTGCATCATAGCAACTTTACACAACAAATCCGCTCTCGTAAAAGCTCCAATTGATATGCAAATCCCGCCCAAGTCGCAAGGACCTCAGGTACTTGAATGAGTTGTTTTGTTTTCTTTCATAATAACAGCATTATCGGTCTCCCAGGAGGGAAAGCACCGCTCTACCATTGGACCGTTTATCACAACTGTGGTTATCGAAATACTTGTGCCTCGTGCCATTAGAAGAGCAAATTAACATCAGTGTTTCCAGTTCACTTCATTAACGACAAGCCGCCAACATTGCCTCATAGCGATGGAGTACACTGCGGATCTCAAAATACTCCGTGCTTTGTTGTTTTGGACTGTCTTGCTCCCTCATATCTTCGTTTGTTCAACTAGCTTAGCAGAGGACTGTATCTGGAGAGGAAGGTGAGAAAAACAGTTCACTTTTAACAGTTTATTGAGAACAGCAACCATCAGTCACTAATTAGAGAATGCTGAAAATTTTAATTTAGCGCGTGTCACAAACAACTGCGTCAGGAAACTACGTGTGCAACTGTGGTTTCACATCCTTCACGCAGTCGAGGCTATCGGAAATTTGAAAACACACGAACTGACAAACTCTTATGTAGTGTGATTCTCTGCCAGGCCCTAGATATGTCCACGGCACAATTATTACAGACTTCACGAAAAAATACAGATGTTAAGTGGCTTTGTTATGACAACTTCGATCAGTATAAATTGCTGTTTACAGAGTGAACGCAAGAAACAACCATTAGTTCTTTATGGTTCCTAGAAGAGGAACAAGCTACATTTAACTTAGTAAATTCCATCTTGGAGGCAAACTGTTCCTCGCATGTAAGTCGTGTACCACACACGAGTGATTTCAGTAGAATTTGAAAAATTTGCGACGAATTTTTGAGTTGACAAGTTTGCCAAACGTAGTTCTCAACGTTTCAATCCGAAGCCGTATCTTTTTCAATACTACATCTTTCCAACCGGAGGCCTTTTCTTTTGAAATAATGCCACGATAACGTTCGCAGTATATTACAAACGCGTGTTATTTTCTCTTTTTTCCCCGAGTGTTAGCTTTCTGTTATGGCACGTGCTTCTCTTTTGTGTCGAAATAACTATTGTTCGCTTTGCGCTAACAAAAGGAATTGCTAGGGCAGATTTTACGTTTTGCTTCCCAGGGCTTCACTATTGTCCTCCTCGCTTCTTTTTATTGTTTTTCCATAAACCACAGAACGTGGAAAACACATGTTCACAAACAACAAGAAGAAACCGTTGTCAATGAAGCTCTGTCAGTTTTCCTTATTTAGACACTAAACAAGTTAGTGCAATCAAAATATAACCGCCAGCTAAGAAACGTACAACCCTTCCGGTCCAATATCTTAAAATGTTTAAGTGAAGTGCTTGCGTGCACGTTCGTTCTCACATAAATAATTTAAGAACTTTTTTCTCGAAGCTAATCAAACTAGTGTAGTTCAAAAGGACCCAACAATTGAATCCAAGAGTCGGTGAAGAACATCGTTTAATGGAAAAAGAATAGGAAGTATTCGAAATGTTTCACTTCAGGGGATAGTTAGGTTAGTCAATAAAGCCTAACACATTAGTGGTAGAAAGATCGCGCCTGATATCCTATATCATTAACTGAGGCAAAAAATAACGAATGTAAGAACTTTGCAGGGACAAAATGTTAAGTACCTTTTATGATATATAGTTTTTCTGTTGTTGTTTTAAAATCAAACAGGAAGAACTATTTCTACTTGACTGTTTAATATTTGACAAATTTTTACAATATCGTAATGGCAATTGAAAATATAGTTTAAAACCTGTTCGTATTTTTTTTTTATATATAGCTCGTTTCTTTATCAAAAGAAATTCTTGAAGTGCCATGCACTCGTTCGTTACTTTGCCATCCGATGTTTCCGTTAAATAACGTCTTTTAGCGCCAGAAAACAGTATTGATTTGTTTATCTGTGAAATAATAACGTAGGACTGTTCGCATAATGGCGACCGTGAATCAGTTTTTCTCTCTGCTTGAAAAATAAAAACTTTTCGGTGACTTTTCATCGATTGGTCCACATGCAAACCATGATGTCCTTTTTCGTCATTAGTGGACCGAAACGAAAGTCACTTGAACGAAAGAGAATTCAGTCCAATATTTATCCATCTGTTTGACAGGTATAAAACGATTGCGGTGGAGAGGTCTTTCAACTAATTACAGCTAACTAAAAAAAAATCATTCATAGTTTGCATTGCTGTGGTTTATTAATTACATCATAGTGTTTGGAAATAAATGTTTAAAATGCCTCAATTAGACTTTCCCGGGGAATTTCAGTTTGAGTCCTTGAACAAGCTTCCAATAGAAACAAAATACATTGCAACGAGAAAACACATGGCTGTCAGAATGAGACTAGCTTTCATGGCTTGCAATGTTTCTTGTGTGGTAGTAAAACCGACCGCAAGGAAACTGGGGAAGACGGAAGTCCTACCCATTCTCCTCGCAGCTTAATTAGTCCATATTTTGCCCCGTCGTGCGCGTGCGCTCTAGCGAAACAGTCTACTATGCAGGGTACCATAAGTCGGCGGTTGGGAAAACTTTGGTTGAGTTCTATGGCCAATTCTGTTTTGAACATTACGTTTTGTTATCTCCTTTTAGCGGTCTCCCCCGTCAGGAAAAGCCCTCTGTTGTGAGTATAGAAACAAAGTGTCACCTGGGAGAGCTTCACTGGGCTGAACCATTTGGCGGCCTGCGAGTCACGTTCAGCCCACGTGATGTGCACGCCGATTATAAACTGTGCTTTACTGCCCGACATCCTGGCGTCAGGATTTACCAGGAACATCTACAGAGCTTGACATTGCTGACAGGAGCGACTGAAAATGTGTCAAGAAATGCAGTTTGTGTAAAGAGCAAAGCAGGGCAGAGTCTGGTGCTGTACTTGGAAACGCAGGAAGACCAAAAAATGACCCAATTAAATTACACGGTGCTTGTAAATGGAAGAAAGAGGCCAAGAAATGAAAGACGAAAAGGTAAGAGAAATAAGGTGAAATGAAAGTAAACACCGTGTCTATTTTTGCACTGACAAGTTGCAGACAGCCTCTGCACACGTTTTGTAGCCTTGTATGAATTGCCGTACAACCCATTCTAAGTAAAACGTAACGTGACTAAGTGACAGGACCGTGTCTGTGAAGGAGACTTGACCGGCACTAATTTTAGGGAGCGCAGTTATAAATAACTTTCCAGAAAAGAGAAGAGAAGCCCAAAGGAGCCCCCCTCGGGAAGACACCGGCTCAACTCTCTGGTTACACTGAACTATGAACTTAATGACTCTCCAACTTTCACCTGTTCCCCTTATTACGGTAATTTCTTTTCTTTTTTCTTTTCTTTTTTTTTTTTTCCACGATGCGATTTCTAACCCGGGACAACTTAAACCGCGGAATGGAACAAAAGAATTCCAACCACTTCTAGATCAACGAGCCAATCAGGTTCAACACAAAATTCGCTGTATTCGTCTCTTCTTCCCTGCAGTATGCGTTTGTTTCCATACATTAGTGGACGCAGTTACGGCACTAAGTCGCACTATAAAATTGCAAAGTTGTAATCAGCGGTAACACGCACAGTATTTACATGGGTTTTGGCTTAGCTCGTAATTTGTTCAGAACAGGAAACTTTGCTCTGTTTGGCTAGAAAATAATACATATAGCGTCCTTATGCTCTGCGCCAGGTTTGTACATTTTAATTTCTCGGGGCAGGCTGGACCCAGATGCTCGCGAGCCTCAACCGATTCGGCGGGAGAATGGAGAGGAGCGCAAATTTTTTCCTTTACCCCATTCTCCTCGGTGTTTGCATGCTCAGCTCGGACGTTTGGAGCTTTGGTTTTGTTACTAGTCTGTTATTTCTTTTTACGAGTTATTTTTCTTCGTGCACGAGAAAGCGGCCTTGCGGTCGGGCTCTTTTCAAATTAAAACCCCTGCGGTTAATACTTTTGCTTATTGGGATATCGACGAACCCAAGTCAATATATAGAGTCTGTGGGGTGAGAACAGAGTAGCTTTCGTTGGAAAGAATTAAAAGACTGTAGGTTGTGCGGAGGCTAATGTAACTTTGAAGTAAACTGTTTCATTTGTCAAAACAGAAACAAGTGTCGGCTTATCTCCCTCGGCTTTAAGTGTAAGTTAATTTGAAAGCTTGAAGCTTGATTTTCTTCCCTTAGGATGAATGAATGAATGAATGAGACTTTATTCGAAAGTGACAATAGTATTTAGCTTAAAAAAACTAATTGGGGACACGATCTAAGAAGTCTTATTTTATCAATTCCCTTTCCTCTCTTCTAGTTGTCCGTGGATACATCAAGACACTCTTCCCTGTCGGAGATGGCCAAAGTGAACAAGCTAATGTCATAGCCACGGAAGTTATCCGACAAGAGAACTATATTTTCGTAAAAAGCAGTGAAACGGATAATGAATACACCGCTTCTATCAATGTTCCAAGCGGCTGCCACTGGAAAGAAACGGAAGATCGGCTTTACTTACTGACGGGAAATCTTAAAAGTGGAAGAGGTCCGGTGCTGCAGTGTCATATTAAAGAGACGGCTTGGTTGAAAGTTCTGAAGGAAGACATTTTGCATCTTTGCAGTGTGGTCCAGTTTTAAACAGCGTTGAAGATTCACTTAGAGTCTTAGCTGCTGTCCACAGTACAAACAGTGTACGACTGACCTTTTTCCTTGGAGGGAACCTATTCTACGGGAGTTGATCACGAATAAACCTGCAGTTTTGTTGCTTAGTAACACAAAATACGTGGAAACGAGATGCTCAAATGACAACAGGACCACTAAATATCGGAAAGTCGTCAGGTTGTCTTTCGGCGAAGAACTCTGAAAAAAAAAAACACTCGCTCCGAGTAGGTCTAGCCTTTAAACCAAAATTATATAGCCAAAGATCCACGCGAAACGCACCTGATTTTTTTTCGCTAAAGCAAAACAGTGTTGATGGGTCTCTTAGTAAGTACAAAGGATACACTTGCATTGCGACATTTTAGCTGAAGTGAAATTTCAAAAATATTTCAATGCAGAAAACAACAACGACAACTAAAAAGCTCGAGCTGAGTTGAATGCAAATACTTCCAGTGCGCAAATATACAAAAACGTAAAAGCTTGCGAGAAGTCTTCTTCCAGCTGCTATAGATATGAAATGTTTCAATTGTTAACGATTTATTCAACGAGTATAGAACGTTACCAGACGAACCCAAAAAAATTGGGGAATAGATCGAGAATGAAATGAGGGATCATTACAGGGAAAGGAGACAATACAACAAAGTACTCGAGGTTGCCTTCCCTTTACAATTGACAATTTCAGGAAAGCCGACCGACATGATATATTCTAACTGGCTGCAAAAACCCAAAAAACTCATCCCCATTTGATTTTAAAAGCCTTAATTCCAAAGGCATTTTGTCTAAATGGATATATAACGCCCTCTTGTTTTAAATGTAACAGGACATAAAAGTAGCATGAAATTTAAGAATGTCTATAAATCGAACGATCTAATTAATTTAAAGGTAAAAAGTATACGTTATTTATAGATGTAAATATTGTACAAAAGCCAAGTCAGACTTGAAATGTAATGAAACTAGGTCCTCTTATGGAAGCATATGTATGGAAAATTAATATACTCAATACGTGTTTGATTAAAATCAGACTTCTATGCGAAATTTTTTTTTTTTTGTAAGGTACTTTACCCAAGTGCCTAAACGACTGAGGGAAGTAGGGAGTGGTTTGGCATCCCTAAATTACATTTCAGTCTTTTGTCATGTTAGGTCAGTGAATAACCATGCCACATTAGGGACATTATAATATTTCTACTTTTTCTCTCTATTCCTGCCCAAAGTTATCTGTAGGATTTACCAATGTTTGTGCTAACTCCAATTTGTTAGTCATTTTAGTCCATCCTCACCCTAATAACACTGTCTTGCCCAAAAACACAACACAAGGGGTCCATCTTGAGTCTAGGAGACCACTGAACTACAGGAGAGGTCAATCTCATGGTTACACACCTTGTTTATGGAGTGTAATTCATGCGTGCCAGGGAGGATCATTAGCTAATAAAAAATGGTTATAATAGTGTAGCATAGTAACATACGTTTACTAGCGTTCTATCACGAATGCTATTCTCTTATTGGTTATGCTCCTCACTATCTATTCTATTGTAGATCGTGAGTAGCCTGGCAGTGTGCAGTTAACAAAATGGCAGCCACTTTGAGGTAGACATTATTCTGACACCAACAACAGAATAACTCTAAAATTAACTCAGCCACTAAAAAAAAAAACAAGTGCATGCATGCATGATGAGTGTTCAGTAACAGTGTTTGCAATGAATTCAAATTATTTTTGTTGCTTGTTTGTTGCACTGTTCAAGTCAATGAAGTCAATGAAATTTGTGTTCCAACGGCTGACATTTACACTGCCAAAACATGAATTGTGAGATAAAAAATAAATTCTTGTGGTCTAAAATCATGCTGTGATTGGTAGAAAAGTTTGACAAAGCCCCGGTTGAAGTCACTGCGGTGTAATATAACTACCACAATTATATTAATTAATATCTTGTTGGTTGTTTTTCAACAACTTGTCGGTAGCACTACAAGAAAAGTGTATTCCACCATTGTACAAGAAGACAAACTTTATTTGAAGTGATGATGATGCACAATACATACTGTATGTTCACCTTGAAAACTACATTCAAATTAACAAGAAACAAAGTAAGTTTCCTTCTATCTCAGTAATGAGAGAAGTCTCACACATAAAACGAACTAATCAATCTTCAAGTAATCCATACAAAGGGTTTTTCACTTGGAATGTCTTGTTCCTCAGAAAATAAATTTTACATCCTTCAACTCTCCATGAGTATCATAAAAAGTCATATTTTTCCCCTCCAGTTGTGGATCTGCCAAAAAATAACACCCAGATCAACATCATGATAAAAAACCTCTCCCTATTTCTTACCATAAAAATTTTGGTTTCCAGTTAACTCTCATTTAACCTCTTCCAAGCATTCATTTAGTTTGGGTGCATTGCGAAAAATGAAGCACAAAAAAATAGAGAAAACGTGCAGTGCAGGAAGGCTCTTTGCACCAAGCCTCTCTGTCTTTTTTGTTCTGCCCCGGCTAAAAGGCCTTGCGCATCCCATGGTGCAACAAGGACAGATGATGATGATGATTGCCCCAGCTAACTGAATGCCTGGAAAACCCTTACTCTCTCTCTGAACACAGTAGCCTGCGACCAGGGTCTAATGCGCTGCTGTACTATAAATGAAGATAGGAGTTGAGGTGGAAAGCTAAATGAGCTGGCAAGGGCCTGGCATACATTGTAAAAAAAAAATGAGCACCTGCCTGGATACCAGTGTTTCCTGAGTACAGCACTCGCCCGTGAATGCAGTGTTCTGATAAGATTAAATTACTTGCGTTCTCTGTGCATGAACAGGAAAAAGCAGTGAATCGTTTTCCTTCTGTAGGAGGAAGTATTTTTGAAGGAGTCCTGTCTGGTGTTGAACCATGGCTGGCAACTGATGCTTACTTCAAGTAGGAGAGCTGTTTGTGAGGACCTCTGAATCTTTTTTTGTAATGTCTTTTATCTCATCAAAAACCCTGAGCGAGTTCTGTATTTTTCAAGCACGTGGATTACACACTTGTCTTAACAAACCAGATGATTTCTCATTTCTGGTTGGCTCACTTTGCTTGCCAACTCATCAGTGACAGTTTTTAAAAATAATGGCAGAGACATAATAGTTAGAGAACTTGTTCTTTAAACAGAAAGGATTGATGAAGAATTCTTGTCACATTAAAGTACCCATAATTTCAACCTCACTGAATTTTCTGTCTAATTTGTAGTCATCTACAGTACAACAAGAGCTTCATCTCTAACCTGCTCACTTTCAAAAAGAAGCAGAAAGCTCAGTGTATAAATTTCTAACTTACATGGGTAGACACGGGGTATTGACCTCATTGTTTCAATGGTATCCTTTGTCCAGGGACTGAGCAAAGCTATCAAAGGACCTACAGGAGAAGAAATTAAGGACAAGACACTCAATCAGCGTTTTCTATCACTGTTCCATCATGGAATTATGGTTTTCGTCTATCAACTCTGCTGTGTGACTCGTAAAAATTGCCTTGTGAGAGTGCCAATCCAGAAAATATCTATACCAAGCCTGGCAGCAACTGGAAATTCCTAGGAGAAGAGAAGTCTTGAATGCCAAAATTTTTGAGGGAAGTATAATGCTAAACTGGAAAATACAGCACAGGTAAGGACACCGTTGATAACAGTACTTTGTACTGAAGGGTTATCCTGAGGAAATATTCGATTATTATTATTATTATTATTATTATTATTAGGGGAAGGGGGGAGGGGGAAGAGTCTCCAGCTAAAATACCTTCCATGGGAGGGTATAAATATTTCTGGGGCAATACAATCTAAAAATCAGTATAAAAACTCTCAACTGTGTAACTGTTTAAATGGCAAATCAATATCGCAAGTGCTACAGTAATGTTTGGAATGCGCAACATCTCTTTTTCTTCAGTTAAGTTGCTGTTGTTGTTCTTAACTAAAACATTTTTTGTTAATTGAATTGAAAATTCAAATCTTGTGATGGTAAATATCGCGTTAAAAGGCAAAACTTCGTCGATAATAGATGGAGGACTTCTGAATTCTGATTACGTATTTGTATACAATTTGTTCAGTACAGCTAAACAGATTTTAACCTGCATATCCACTCATTTAGATTGAGTAAAAGCAATCCATAGTTAGCATATTACCTGAGAATCCAAACACACATGACATGAATACCACAGGCTCCCTTCCCCAAGCATATCTGAACCAGTCAACTGACCTCCTCCACATGCCCGCCATGTTGAATTCGCCCAACAGGCAAAGTAGTTCCCAGGGTCTCGTCCTTTCTCATTGACAGAAAGAAAGAGCAAAGACTGGGAATGACAGTCTTATCGGTGGAGGAAAAAATCATGAATGCCCGATCGCAAGTGTTTGAAATGTCTGTCGAAGGAAGACAGATCGAAGAAGTAATCTTGAGTATATTCCACTCGATTTTGCTTCATAGAACGTCTGGCAAGTTTAGCTACAAAAGAGAAGGATCTTATAGCATTGGAACCGTGGGAATGGTGGATGTGGATTGTGATTTTGTAGATTCTACCTATGTTCGCGTAGATTCGGATGATTTACACCGTGCCTTGAAACGACAAGTTGCGGAATTTAGAGAGTCCCTTAAGAGTCCCGAACGTCTGAGGAGCGGGCAGATATCTCTGGAATTTTATCAGAAAAAGAAAGCGCGTTGGCCGTTTGGAATGGAAAATATCCCTTGGGAAATTTGGACGGTGAAATTAAATGTCGTCACCCTTGCTAACGAACACGAAAGGCAGATTTGCCGAGAAAAAGTTGGTGAAGCTCTTGCTGAAAAAATAATCTGTATTGCTGGAGTCATGAACAGGCCGGAATACGTGCCTAAAATGCCAAACCAATCAGACGTTGCTAATGTTTTTGACGTGAGTTTCAAAGACGTTCAACCTTATCTCCATAAATTTAGTTACCAGGCTTCCGATCAACCGTCACAGTCAGTTGGAACAACAATGAAGAGACTTTTACTAGACACATTTTCCTATTGAGATACCCATCACCCCCCCCCCCTGCCCCCCTTAAAAAAAAAATCACTGGTTTGAAAGTTGTTACCATGGAAAATGATATGTAAAATTTTCTGTCACCTTGTTTTATTCATAAATTAAAAGAGGGATAAATTTCATGCTGAGATTGGTTGAAGTTCATTAGGCGTCAATGGAATAAAGCTTTATTCAAAAGTTGTTCACACGAAGAGACAATCAGCTATATTTATTTGATTATACAAAACTCCAACTTTTCCCTTGCTCAAACCAGTTCAATTAAGTCAATGGGAGAAATCATGATCTTAAATACATTTGTTCTTGATTATGAACACTGATTCTTTAATATAAATATGTACTTCATATTGGAATGTGATACCGTATCAGAGGACTTATCACTGGCTGTTCCAGGACTTACCTCTGGCTAGCCAGCCTCAAAACATCTGTATAAAGCGTAAAGTCTCTTTATGATATACTACATACATAACATGATATATCTGGTGAGCCCTCGGAGACCAGTAAAGCTAAACATAAGAGGTTTCTGGCTCAGACTGGATCAACTTGGACACTGATTAAATAATTGGTATAAGAATTAAAACTATTCAAGAACAAGGTATAAACGAAAGTTGTTCAATTCTTATTTGAATCAGTGATCCGAGTTGATCCCATTCAAGTGTTGTACCAGTCCAAAGGTTTGTGTGTTATGTAACAGAGGGGACTGATAGGTGATTTGTAATAATTAAATATCATTGTTATATAATATGGTGTTACTTCAAGCTTTAGAAAAACTGAAGACCTTTTCTTTCTCTCCTATCTTTGCCAGGCTTGCGTACAAAGATCTTTCTTTCTCCTTTGTTATCAGTCAGGTCCATCCATAAAGGGTTCCATCAATCGGTGACATCTTAGCATGAACATGTAGTGAAAAAACTCAAGACTGCTTTTGAAGTTTGGAAGACTATAACGCAAACTCTTTTGTCCACTGTTTTATAGAGTTGCAAAAATGTCTGATGAAGTTTGAGTAAAACTTCAAATCAGGAGTCCCAGACAAACTTGATAACCAACTGTCACTGAACTACTTTGAGTTGAAGTTGGCATTACATGCAGCCAAACTTTAAATGATTAATGATAAATCATGCAGAGGTTGAATTACTCAATTTATTGAAAATTTTGCTTTTATGAAACATACTTAACCTTCATACTAAGAAAAAAAAATCGATGTACTGACTGGATAGACAATAATTCAACAACAATAAAAATGCTACTTACTTATGATTTATGCTATTTCATGATGTGTTCATGCCTACCTGATTCAAAGAGAAAATGTTGCTTCAGGTGGGGATTTTTTTCTTATTGTTCACTCAAAACAGACATTCAAATGAGTGTTAAAATATACAACAGTACAAGGACCACTTGACAAATACACAATGGACAATTCATTTTCTACTTGCAGTAGCCTGCATCTGGTGTAATAAACTCTAACATAATTATAAATGAGAATGGTAAACTTTCAAGCAGCTGATGGGTCATGAGAGGTCAATGGCTCAATGTCATGTCGTAATTTGAGTTCCTATGTCTGTATGATGATCTATGGAGATGCCAACCTACAAAACTCAAACTCTGGGACATGATCAACTTTCCCTTCCCAACCCTAAAAAACAGTGTTAAAAGTAGAGCTCATTCAACTGGCCTAAATGCATTAATTATTTCAAAATTTTCCATTCAAAATGCCAAAAATCACCCAAGGTAAGTGTGAAAAATGTACTTTTAGCACTTCCCTGGCATCCAGGACATTTGGTGACCCATATGGTAGACCAGGAGATTTCGTCTGTCTCTGGGAAACTCCCAGATAATCTGGAAGAGGGCATAGATCCATTCCTCCCTGTTTCTGACACATTTGACAACTTCATCTTACTTCCACCTTCCAAAAAAACATACCACAGTAACTGAGCCATACTGTACTTTATTATAGGAAGCCGTCATCTGGCTCTTCGGTTAAGAAAATGTTCACCTTCAGCGGGATTTAGAAGAACACGAATCTATTCCGGTGAGAAGATTCGCGAGTCCATTACAAATTTCTATTCATTATTATGACGTCACTAAGTTAGCCTTCTCCAGTTTCACGGCCTAGTAAATATGACGACCACCCGTGCTGAGACTAGCTTTACAAAATAAACTTTTGTACCCCTGATATAGGTTTCACTAGCAATGTAGCCCTCTACAATGACTGATCTCTGCAGAAGGTTTGGCCTTGATGTTGACGGTGCTATAAATCAGCTTCTTGACTACAAAAACTCCCCGGCGAAACAGGTACGTTTGTTTGCAAAACGTGAGGCTTGTCTTTTCTCAGGCCACGAAAAGAATACCTAAGAGACCGATATTGGACCCTTTGAGTATTGAACCAAAACGTTTGAGATGATACCTTTCGATACAATCGCCTTTTAATTCACTGCTTTTCGTTTGTGCTCAACGGAACCCAAGAGGTAGTAGTTTGCAATTTCGCGTGTTGTAGACAAATAATTTATGAGCTTAGCTTAGTTACTTACCTTATGTTTGATAGTTGAATTGAAGGAAGGCAAGAGCTTTATTAAAATGTAAATGTTGTACAGTATGGGAAGAAAGGAAAGCCTGAACCATTCTTATTCACAAACTGTGATCTATATTAGATAGTGCAGGTCCAAATCAGGGCTTTAAAACGTCTTGCCAATTCCTCAACCTGCTTTATCAAAACAAACTGCTTTTAAACTGACAACACTTTTTATAAACAAAACTTTATTCATATTTTGTTGATAAAAATTGCTAGATTTCCGAAAGTAGCTGACCTTGGCTCTCGAAAGATGTGATGGTCCAGCTAGCTATCAATGTATGATCATGCAATTGTTCTAGGATTTCTGTTAGTACCAGTGTTTACACAAGCAAGAGTAAACCCAGACAACCACCAGCTGAGCAACAGGCTTTCTTGGGCTTACATGCAAATTTTTATAACTATTACGTTTTCACCTTGCTATTCTCCATCCAAACGATATTGACCCCTTGAGTGCCTGACCATTGTGTATGCTTGTGCCTTGCCATTTTCCCTGAAAGTGGGTATCTTAAGTAAAAACGTTCAAATGCCATAAACTTTTTGCGCATAAACTACGGACGTGTATGTACACATTTTCTGAAAGGTCAAAAACGTGAATCTTCAGTGCAGTTAATTTCACTGAGGTTGATGTAATTTGATATCCATATGATGTCACTGCAATGGGAAATTAGAAGTCTGTCAAAAAAACCTCCTACGAATCTGAGGTGCTAGTAAAGGTTGTTTCCCATGTGCCGAGAGTTTCACTAAATCTCTCACAATTTTGACGAATCCAGTAGGTCAATTATACGCTCCTGAGAGACAAAAATCATGAAGTACTGAGTACGTCATATATAGGCACTCAAGGGGTTAATCAAAACATGTTTTATGGAGATACTTTTAAATAACTGGACACTCTCTTTAGTGGGCTATATTTTTGGTCGCTATATAAGCTGGAAGCATTAACATTTTGTCTTGAATTGATTGACATGTTGTGGTGGACATTAAATAAATACAGACATTTTGCTCTGTCCTATATGATCTTGATGATATTAACAGAGCTTAGTAGCTATGCCATCTCCAAACAGGATACTTTGGACATTGCTGATTCTAGCAGAGGGCAGGATGCCTGTCACATATAAACCTAGTAAATGTCCTTGATTCCTCTCCACGAGTCCCTCTTGCACATTGTTTAGAGCATTTGAACAGTGTGCTAAAGGGCATGGGTTCATGACTCCCATCAAGGGGATTCAAAATTCTTTCTTTGTCCCAAGCTTTTGAAAAATGAATTTACATCTTTCTCAGAGTTATTATTTAAATTTTTAAAAAAGGTCAATGCTTCTCAGATTTAAATACGTGTTTCGACAGTTTTAAAAACTTCTGTTGTTGTCAAGTACTACTAGAATGAATTTGAATACACAAGTTAATGGTGTTTTCTTCTTAAGTTTGTATTTCTTCATGTTTGTATGTCACTCCAAAGCTAATTTTTTCACTTGCATCTCAAGGGAAAACAACTGCCTAAACATTGTTTTATTGTTCTTTAATCATTGGTTCAATTATGTATCGTCCTCAATAGGTTCAGCTTCCTGAGGGAACAATACGCTTGCTATGTCAAGTATCAAGGGAGGTTTTCATGCAGGAGGCCATGTTGCTAGAGTTGAGTGCACCAATGAATATTTTTGGAGATATTCATGGGCAATATGATGATCTTTTGAGACATTTTGACACGCTTGGATATCCTCCTGATGTTGCTTGCCTATTTATGGGAGACTATGTAGACAGGTAATGGAAAAATTGGCTTTTTGTACTTTACAGTGTGGTTATTTGCTGAAGAACCTTTGTGATATTTAGCAAACTGGATCTGCAATGAATTTTGAATGTTTCTGTTTAATTTCTCATTGCTGTTTAGAGGAAAGAAGTCCTTAGAAACTATCTGTCTATTATTGGCATATAAGATTAAGTATCCTGCCAACATGTTCTTGTTACGAGGAAATCACGAGTCAGCATCTATTAACAGGTGAAGTTGACTTCAGAATATCACACACTATATCTAATTTAAAATTTGTCATTCTCACATTGTATGTGGTGTATATTATTCAGGCATGTAACTTTGGATATATTGTTTTATCAATTGGAATAAAGACACATTAGGTACATCACAGCCCAGGCTTGAGTAATCATGAACATGTAGGGGTGGACCTTTATTTTTTTTGAGGGAAGGGTTGAGCAATTTTCTGGGGCATGAAATTTTTTCTCTCCTTTAAGTTGTGTGTGTGTGTGTTTTTTTTGTGGGCAGTAGCATGTGCAAGAATGTTTTTTAAAGTCAAGCACAGGATTTGAATTGTAGAAAGCACTTTGATTTTTTCCCCATGGCTCCCCTTGCATTATTTTTTTTCAGCAGTTTTTGCCGTGCAGGAATTTTTTTGGAAAGTGCCCAACCCCCCCTCAGAAAAATAATGGTCCATCCCTTACTCTCACTGACATCACCCTAGATGTTATCACACAGCATTTACCCCTAACTTAGGAGTAAGTGCTGCGCGAAAGACTAGCATCCTCTTTAGTCAGAGGACTGAGATACTTCTAGTTCCTTTCAGTTCCTGCTACATGTATATACACGAGATAATGGCCAGCCTCATAGGCTACTTGGCATTGTTTCACGCAGACCTCACCTTTACACTGTACATATAATGCTCTTATGACCCCAAGAGGTCTCTAATGGTGGATCCTTTGGAAGAAAATTTTAATACTGAGATTGATGTCCTTAGGAGGCAGTAAATTAATAAAATCAAAAGTTTTAATGTCCAGTGTTTGGTTCTTATAAACCAGATGATTAATAGTTCTCAATGACAAATTTATATTAGTTTCTCTTCTTGCAGAATCTATGGTTTCTACGATGAATGTAAAAGACGGTACAACATCAAGTTGTGGAAAACGTTCACTGATTGTTTTAACTGCCTGCCAATTGGTAAAATGTCTTTTATTGATTCTTTTCTTTTCTTTATGTTATTAGAGTTTTAAAGCAGTGTTAGAGCTCTTTGACATCCTACCTCAACTGGCCTGCTCCTGCCCACAAACACCTTGAAATATCAATTCAAATGTCTTGCTGTGTTTAGCAAGTCATGACAGCTGGTGAAGACATTGCAGTGGTCCAGCCCACATTATTTACTGATAATTATTATCATTACTCAGCTTTGTCAGGCCAAGTTTCAAGCTGTTTGACATAATGTTGAAGAAATGATTGGTGAAGATGTTATAAATAACATTACCACAAGTCTCCTCATAACAGGTTATACCAAAACCGCCTTTTTAACCTCTAAAAGGTTTGACGAGCACCCCCCAGAGTTAGTTAGGGGAAACGGCCCAACTCTTTTAAAAGCTGAAAATATCATTAACCACAAGTCAATGGCCATTTATAATACAAATTTGCACTAATTTTAGGATTCTACTCTAGAGAACGTGTCTTGAATTCTATGATCTAGTATGGTACCTCTTTTTTCAGCCGCAGTAGTGGAGAAAACCATATTTTGCTGTCATGGTGGCCTTTCTCCAGATTTGCATGACCTGGATCAGGTCAGCTTCTATTTTCACATTGTTTGCTTCAATCAAAGTAATTACACTTCTAAAGTTGAGCACAACTATTCACATTATATCTCTCGTGAAACTTAATGCTTTACCTGTGATCTTGCAGTTGTTTGAATTGATAACGCAAACATTTTGTTTCCAAGTTGCAACGTTTTGTTGTCCATGCTTGATAAATTGATGTAGAGCTTCAACAGTATTACCCCCTGCCTGGAGAGAGCCAGCTCATCTTGGTAATTTGTTTTTGTTCAGTTGCGCTCGTTGGAGCGGCCCATGGATGTTCCAGACAAAGGTCTAGTGTGTGATCTACTCTGGTCTGACCCAGATGAGGTACTGTGCATCTACGTTTGAATTAGTCGATTCCATATATACTTACAGTGGAACCCATTTAATACGGTCACCAACGGGCCAATAATATTTGGGCGGGGATGGCCGTATCACCGGGGCACGGTCACATTTCATGACTGGTCCAAATTGAGTAGCAGATATATCACAACTGCATTTCTAAACAACTGATTTTTAATAAGCATCCGGAATGCAGATATAATTTTTTAAAATTGAAACTTCAATCACTACATACAATAGTAACATTGGAAAGATGAACATAACTAGTTTGAGTGACCGCATGAACGGGATAAATTATAATTAAAGGGGATTATACAGGTTGAGATTTCAGAATGTGGCCGTTGACCGTATTTAACGGGGTGGCCGCGTTAACGGGGTTTTCTTGTAAGAAAATGTATGGACGTTCCGCCGGGACAAAAAAAGTTGCCGTAGTAACGTGGTGACCGTAAGGTGAGGTTCCACTTTACTTTTAAGCATCGCACACCAAAATAGTTTCAAGTTGTACTGCATGATCAGCACTTGTAAATATTCAGTTACTTAAGGCAACTTTACCAACGTTTTAAGTTGTTGTTTATTTTCAGGATATCACTGGCTGGGGCGAGAATGATCGAGGTGTATCCTGGACATTTGGTGGTGATGTTGTTCGTGCATTTCTCAAGAAACATGATTTAAGCTTAGTGGCACGTGCTCATCAGGTGAGCAACATACAACTTTTTTCTCATTCATATTTCTAGACAGATTAACGCCCCGTCCACACTACGCGGTGAAATTTGAAAACGCAGCTTTATTTCTACTGTTAGGCCTACCGTCCACACTAACCAGTCACGAAAACGGAGCTTTTCGAAAACGCTCTTCAAACCGAAGGAATTTAAAAACGCCGGCTTTTCGTTTCGGTGTGAACGGAAAACGTTTTGAAAACAGACCTGTTCGAAAACGGTGCCATCACGATAATCACCTGATTTCCCTGACCGAGTTTTCCTCAAACACAAATCCAAAATGACTGGTGATCGTTGCGTTATTAAATTCCTCTGGTGTAGTGTGGACGGAAAACATTTGATGCGTTTTCGAAATCCTCCGGCGTAGTGTAGACGCTGACGGGGCCTATAGCGTCACAGTTCTCTTTTCCCATAAGAGAAAAAAATCTCGCTTGCCGTTTTTCCAAAACAAGTGAGCACTAGTTCAGTGTTTGTCTTGGACGAGTGAGATTTTGTTGTTAATTCAAGCGATAGTTGTAAAAGAATCAGCAGCAATCTACGATTTACCGTTTGTCATAGAGCTTTGGGATTTTTTTTTTTTTTTTTTTTTTTTTTTTTTTTNCCCAACATTTGTCCGCGAAGAAAAAGCCATAGATTGAATCGGAAATGGAAAATTAAAATGATTGATTCAGTAACTGACGAAAACAGTGAACACTATTAAATTTCATTCGACTGAATTATCGGGCAAGTAAGACTATTGTTGCATTTTTTTGTTTTTTTTTTTTTTTTTTTTTTTGATTCATTGAACAATTTTCTTGAGACTTAATGTATTTGTCAAATTCGTCTTGCAATACATTAAATCCTATTTTAAATCAATTTTGTCAGGCACAGAATCATTGCCAAGTAGAAAGAAGACGCAGTAATAGCTGAGTCAAGAAAACAATAAGCCTCAAAAAGACGTTAGTTGATAGTAGGAAAGATTAACACGGATTGCGACCCTCTCCCTGACTGATTAAAGTCCTTCAAGATGCGAACAAAAGTGACAATTGTTTTTTGTTCAAGCGTAGAGAGTTTCTAAGTTACAAGTTACTCTAATGCATGCTTATTCGCATGCATATTATTAAAAAAATTATTTTACCAGTTATCTCTTCCACATAAAAGAGGACTCCAGTGCACGTGTTTTGATTTGTATTTACTTTCCAGGTTGTCGAAGATGGTTACAGATTCTTTGAGAAAAGAAAGGTACCTTGACATGCGCATCTTTGTTTATTGATTACAATACATTAGTTAACCTGCAATACCTATTTGCAAGTTACTTTTGTACTTGCATTCTTTCTCGCAGTGCTCTCCGTGTTTCGGTGTGATGCTTATACAATGGTTCTTTATTTTACATTGGTTAACAAGAAAAATTTTAAAACATTTTATACGCTTGAGAGACATTTCAAAAAGAGAGTAAATAAACAAGAAAATAAAAAGAGTAATGCCAAACTGCTTATTGAATCACTTGTTTTATTTTCAGCTCGTGACGTTGTTCAGTGCGCCGAACTACTGTGGTGAGTTTGATAATGCTGGTGGTGTCCTCATCGTCAGTAAGAACTTGATGTGTTCGCTGAGCATACTCAAGGTAATTGCTTGTACTCCATCACTTTCGTTATGCCCGATACTTAATTTTCCCCTATCACTCTTTTGCTTTCAATTCTTACCGTCCTGTTTAGTGCATTAATCTCGTACTCGATCGTGATTGCCACAGACAAGTCTTTTCAAAATTCCCTTACTTTCCCCTGATAAAGATACAATTTTCTTGACGAAATAAATGCAAAATGTCAGATATAATAGCGGCTTCTAATTAAGCTCCCCATACAGCGGACTCTTCTACCCATTCATTTCAACAAATTTTCCTTCTTTATCAAGGAAAAACATTGCTGCCGACCAGAATCTTTCTTCTAGCCTTCAATGGCATTAAATCAGCGTATAACATTATGTCAATTTTCCCAGACTTTTCTTCAAAATATCATTTTTCCTTGACTCAAAATAAAATTTCCTGACATTCCCCTTATACCTTGATGAGTTTTTCTTTTACCTGACCAGTTCCTGATCTGTGGCAACCCTGCCAATTGAACATAGACTAATGAGTAGTCCCGCTTTCGCTTAGTCCGTCCTGCGTGACGCGAAAGAAAACCGCGAGAGAAAAAAAATGGCCGCACGAAATCCTTGGGTCAGGAAGCGCGCGAAACGAGCTTTATTTAGTAAATAAAGCTCGTTTCGTTTTGCTCAGTTTTTTGAGCGTGACCGTAAATTACGGTCACGCTCAAAAAACTGAGCAAAAGTAGGACTACTCGTAGTGCAATTGAACAAGGAACTTTTCGTAGTGGACCTCGTTTTATTTTACTGATTATGACTGATATGTTTTGTTTGTCCATTTTAGCCGGATAGTTTAACGATTAACATCAAAGACACACCAACCCAGAAGAAGAGTGGAAGGCTAGGTCGCTCGTCCAATCAGATTGAAGTCCAATAGTTTTCTTTATTTGAGCATTTACATGGATGACTTTTATAGTTCGGTGCAGCTTATTTACGAACAGAAGGAACACTTTCATGGAAACAGTTTTCCTTTGTTATTTAAGCTCCTTTTTTAAAATTTTATTTATGGAGATATAAATTATAGTGCGCCACAGCCAGATAACTTTTGTACTGCATATTTATAAAAGATTAAATGACTCAGTCGGTGTGGTTGCATTTTCTGTTCGTTGTCATAAATGACTACTTTAGCCTCGCGTAGTAATGCCCTCTATTTTCACGAGTCGTGGTTGACGATTTGCGAAGAAAATTAAGCGCGTGAAAATTTATTCTGAGGAGGAAATTCCTACTAGTCTGTGATGTCACTCGTCTGCTGCCTGCCACTCGGAACCGCTCGATTCTTGTACCCATGGTCCTTTTCGCTTCTCTTGGCCGGCGGGGTCTTAGCAAACCCTTCGTTTCTCGTTCCATGGCTTCGCCGTCTTAAAGAAGCGAAAAGGGCTATTGGGACGAGAATGGTTCCTTGTTATCCTTAGAGAACCTCGTCCCCAGAGTTTCATGAGAAAATTATTTATTATTTATTTTGTAAAATTATTTTGATGCCAAATTAGGTGGGTGGTTTTTAGAGAGACAGCCTTTCAAGATTGCTACATACGCCATGCAGGTTCCAAGACTGTCACTTTTGGAGATACGTAGAAGGGGCTTCGTTTCTGCGAGTTTGATATACGAATTACAAAAGGCTAGTCAATCTAAATATGGGTAGGGCGCTTGCCCTGAGACCACAAATCAATTTGTTCTTTACACTAACGAAAAAAATCACAATTAATAAAACTTGGATGTTGTTTTGTCAATCACTACCCATTTACGTAAACATTGCTTCACGAAAGTACGTCATATTTGGCGAACATTGAATCATTTAGCTTTAAATAGGAGCCCAGCACTAGGAGTGAGCAACTCCCATACTAAACCCATGTCACGGCATTTTTATAGACTGGTCTATATTTAGGCTTCTTTTCGGCGAAATAGGTCAGTTCCGGTCTACATGAGCGCGCATCGGTAAGGGAAAAAAATGGCTTACCTCACATCAGGAGCCCGTCACTTCTTCCAGTGAAATGATGACGTCAGTTGAAAATTAAGTCTGTGCTTGTGATTGGTCTCTCAGATTCCTACGGGGTCTGAATTCGCGGTGAATTCAAGCTAAAAATAGATCTGTGAAAACGCCGTGACAAGAATATGGGGTTGTTACACGCTCCTGGTGATGGGATCCTGCTTTAAGTTAATCGGTAATCCAACTTCAAGTGGCGCAATCATGAACATGCTGTCGAAAAGTCAAACTTTAAAAGACGATAAGCTCGGATATTTGTCCGCAGAAATTATGGTTATTTACCATTTACCCAAAAGACTTGAAAGGTAGTCCAACATTTCCAACCGAAATCTCCGAGTGGAAAATGTGCTTACCGTTTGCAATTCTTCGCCGCCATCTTGGAATTACAATCAGGTCGAACTCGTCCTACTTTCTTTCGGTAAATTGGGGATTTTTTAGTAAATCCGAAATGGCCAATCCGAACGCAACTCACAATCAAGCATTTTTGCTGACCATTTGCACAAACCTGCGACGAACCTGTTTCTCCATGTAAATTGTAAACAACCTAACTGCTCCGAGAAGCTAACAGTTTTCCAAGCAAACAGTTTTTCCGTAGCTTGAAGAAAACTGTGAAGCTTCGAGGAACAGATAATGTCTGAGGACAAATATCCGAGCATATTTTCGCGCCAAATTGAGGCTACTGTATTTTTTTATCCTTCAAATATTTTTCGCAGCACACGCAGTTTTGACAATTGGAGAATATATATATATATATGTTATTTGCCGGCTGGGACGTCCGTATGGTGAAAAACTGTGACCGAGGTCTTGAAAATGCTGCCCGAGGCCGAGGTCACAGTTTTTCACTATACGGACCGACCCTGCCGGCAAATAACATTTTTATTTTTTTCTCCTGCAGTAAATTGGTTTTACAGATTACAAATGGGTTTGTTTACGCAACTCTTGTCACTGAATCGGCTTCCACGCCGTCTACTAAC